GTTGAGGAACTTCTTTTCAAATTCTTTCTATTTATTTGACCTTCATCAGCAGATCAAAACACTTTAAGGACGTACCAACTCAGAAACACTGTGTGCATACAACGTTGTATTATCTCGCCATTGCAGCAACCTAAAGATGACACCATTAGAAAGAGATTCAAAGAAAGAGAAACTGTGAAAATAAAACACTAAGTGCAAGCAGGTCCCAATGAATCACTTTTCTTCTTCTTCTTCTTGTGTCCGTTAGCTGTGTGTGAGAACGGCTGCCAGAACGGCGGGCGCTGCATCGGGCCCAACAGATGCGCTTGTGTCTACGGTTTCACTGGCCCGCAGTGCGAGAGAGGTGAGCGCTCGTCCTTTTTCTTCTGTTTGCTTTGTGACTCTGCACAATGTGCCTCTTTGAGCTCGCTTTGCATCGATACGACAGAACCCTGCTGCTGCTGCTGCTGCTGGGAAAATGACATCGGCTCCGTTGGCGTCGATTCCAGTGAAATATTTTGACTCACCAGCTTCATTGGTGATACGTGCACCTCCACTGACATCATTCACGGAAAGTCCAGAAGGTGACGAATATGAGAAAAACATCACAGCTGTTACCTGAACTGCTTGTTTTAAGTCCCCTTGGGTTGGCACACCAGCTTCCTGGTTTAACTTTGACCCTCTTAAACCCAAGTATTTCTGAGCGTTTTATTTCATTTTTTAAAATTTTCATTCAGTGTGCGCTCGTTTTTCACTGCCGTATAAAGTCCTGGATCTCTATGGAAGCAGCACAACCATGAAGAAGACAAGAGAACTCAGTATAACAACAACATAATGCCTTAAATCATCAAAAAGAAATAAACTGAAGTTGAATTTGATTATTTATTGTGCAAAAATGGGGGGGGGGGGAAGCCCCTGAATCAACCACAAGTGTTATCAATACTGGAAGAAATAGTGGCTTTAAATACTATGAATATTTTACTACTTATTTCCTACCTGTTTTGTTTAAACAGCCGCCAGTTCAACCGAATTGTCCTTCAATTTTTGTCCTGTAACTGTTGGTTGCAGCTGAGTCGCTCCTGAATGCAACATTTTTAGTTTTTGACAGAATCCAGTTGTGCAAATTCTTTATTTTTTGACAATTTTTTGAATAAGACATGTAGAATAATGTCTTATTTTAAGCTTAGATTTGATTAAGTTTTCCAGTAGTAGTTTAAGGACTGTCGGAAAGTCGACAATCTTTTTGTTTTAACAATTTCCAGCTCTGATAAATGGTGCCATTTGGTGATTTTTGAAGATAACCTACCTTTAAAACCCACTGAGAGGCTTTGGGTTTCAGAGGATCACTGTATTTTGATGTGGTTTTGTGTGCTCACTTTTGGTTTCACTTCCTGGCAAGGAGCTCAGATGATATGGAAACTTCTTTACAACCTTTGTGACCATCTGACTGCTTCTGTTCTTTGTTGATTCTCAGCAATAACTGGGACATTGTGAGTAAAATGTGGTTCAGGTGGTCGAGCAGGTTGGTGGTTTGACCCTCCGCTGAACTTCAAGTTACTCCTGGAGTGCTTTGCAGAACCAAGCTAATGTCAAAAACCGTGAAAAACAAGAAATGCAAAGAAGTCCCATTGAGTGCGTTGCGGCTAAAATGGTGTTTTTTTGTGTTTGAGAATCGGTGCAACCAGGAAATAGACAGTGACGCTGGAGGTGTGTTAGGTTTGGTCCGACCCGGCCTTTTTTATCAATACTCTCCCACCCACACACACAGTTTAACGTTAAGCTATCGAGCCAGGAAGGCTTTGATGCTGCCTTTGGGTTGTTCCTATCAGTCCAGACGTCCCTTCATTCATTACTTCAGCGCTTGGTGAGAATTCCCCGGATGACTTCATGCGCTGAGCTCAGACGGACAGACAGACGGTGGGTGTTGGTCTCTTTGAACAGTAGCCGGCGGTATGTGAGCGATGGCAGGGAGTTGGGAGGAGGTGGTACCGTCCTTTGGCGGATGACGAAACGTCTGAACGGCTTAATTTCTGCTCACCTCAGCTCACCTCCAACCCTACCTTTCATTGACCCTCACCTTCCACCTCCCTCTTCCTCCCCCCCAGGCTGTTACCTACAATAAGATGGAGGAGAGATCTCGACCTGCACTCACTTAACTCACCTCTGCATCCCCCTTTTTTTCCCCCTACTTCTAATCTTCCCTTCATCGCCTTGTATCCAACTTCAACCGCCACTTAATCAAACTCTAACTTCTCTAGCCCTCTCCTCGCTCCCCATCGCTCACAAACCCTCCTGGGTCTTGTTTTCTTGGAAAATACAACATTTGTGGGGCTCAGTTTGTCAGAGGGAGCCTTAAAAACATCTGGCAATAAATACACCCCCCAACCTCCTCCCCTCAACGTCCCCACAGGACTGACAAAATAGGGTTTCTTTGTGGACTGGTAGTGGACATTTCCTGATGAGGAGTGGAACAAGGTAGAAAGAGGGGCGGAAGATGGGAGGGCTTCGCCGAAAATGAAAATGGACTCCCCAGCTGTGTACACAAAGCCTGTTGGAGGGGAGCACAAACACTCGCGATGGTGTACGACCAAAGAACTTTTAGGTATCGCAAAGGGAACGCTGATAAATCTTTGTTTGCGTGTGTTTTTTGGACCACATTCTGCATGTCTTCATAAAGAGAAAGGTGATGGGCCGGATTTGTAAATATGACTCCATAAATCATTGGGAATCTTATTAGTAACAGACATGAAAATGATCCCTTGGCAGCACGAATTGAAGGTTGAATATCAGTAATTAGAATTTAATTAGCTGCAGTTAGCTTACTCACTGGCCCATTAGCAATCAGCTCACAGGGGACGTTTAAACATTTATCCTTCAATAGCAGACCAAAAATTAAACCTCAGAGATGTTCAATAATTCTGATAAACGACCATTAAGGTTTCTTAAACATTGGGTTTGGCCTGAGACGCTGCAGCGCCCCTGCTGCGCCCTGCTCGCCGTATACTGTGGTTTTTGGAGTTTGTGTAACTGAGGCCGTGAGTCAGTAGATTTACTGCGTGATTCAGTGAGAAGACTGCTGATGAACTGTGATTATGAGGCCAGTGAAAGTCAGTCACTTTGGGGGAGCTGCGGGGATGGAGTCATGGGAAACCACGGAGTGTGTTCGGAGTGTGTGCACGTGCAGCTATGTGTGAGGCTTTCTGACTTTAGTTAGTGATAGCAGGGAGTTCGCTGTTCCCGACTGAGTCAAAAATATTTCCCACCATCGCTGCTCCACATAATTAGGTGCAGCTTACTAGTGCCGGGTTGGATCCCCTTTTGCTTTCACAACTGCCTTCACTCTTCGTGGCAGAGAGTCAAGAAGGTGCTGGAAACATTCCTCAGGGGTTTTAGTACACATTGACATGAAAGCATCAAGCAGTCGCTGCAGATTTGTTGGCTGCACTTCCGTGATCGGAATCAGAATCAGAAAGGTTTTGCTGCCAAGTAGGTTTTCACATACAAGCAAGTTGAGTTGATGTTTTAGTGCAGCAGTGTAGTGTGGTTCTGTTGGACTGAGATCTGGTGACTGTGGAGTCCAGTAAACTCGCTGTTCTGTCAAAGAAACCAGTTTGAGATGATGACTTGAGGAGGTTATCCTGCTGGAAGAAGATGGCACATTGTTGTCATGGACGTGGTCAGCAGTGATGCTCAGGTGGGCTGGTGAGTTGGTACCAACAGGCCCAAGAAAACGTCCCCCGACACCATTATACCAAAACAAGCCTGAACCGTTGATGTAAGACAAAATGGATCCATGCTTTCATGTCGTTTACACCAAATCCTGACCCTACAATGAGCAGAAATCAAGACTCAGTCTTCTATTGTCCGATTCTGGTGAGCTCGTGTGAATTGTAGCCTCAGTTTCCTGTTCTTAGCAGACAGGAGTGGAACCAATGTGTTCTGCTGCTGTGGAACATCTGCTTTAAACTTGGACATGTTGGTCTTCTGAGAGTGCTTATTGGAGTTCCTGTATCGCTCAAAGAGAACATGGTCAGGAGAAGAGTTGGTGGAGGAGACACTTTTTACAGCTGATTTAAATCCCAAACTCTGAACAGAACCTCCTCCTGAGCGGGTTAGCTGTGCAGCATCAGTTACCACGGCGATCCAGCAGTTTTAAAAGAGCGACGCCGTCATTGGAAACTCCAACTTTAGGCTCAACGTACAAGCAAAACACTCTAATCTTGCTTCGTAGTGCAGCCGTCAGGATTCCCTTTAAGCAAGGTCTACTGCAATTCAGATTCTTATTATTTGTTGTTTTGTTTGTTATTTGAATGACAGGATTCGTGATACAGATCCTCACGTTTCTGTTAGTGTTGAATCATGAAGGGTTTGGTTTTCCAGAAGCGCCACCGTGAGGTTGACATTTGCGGTTTTAAGTGAAATGTCAACGACTGCTGAGACATTTTTACAGCCGTCAAACCTTCAGTTTCCATCCAGAGTTTTCACCACATCAAATCGTTGTTTTGTCCAATACTTTGGTTTAACAGCAAGTAGTTGGAAAACTAACGACACGACCATCGACCTCGGTGCTCTTTGCAGAAACGCTAACACACTAAATTAACACCGACATTAACTTTTCACTGACGTACAGCCTCTCAGAGCTGCTGAGTGCTGTTGCCTTGTATGTAGCATTAACTGTGCACATCATCCGTCAAAATGGGCTTGTTAATGCATTCACGTCAATGTATATTTTCGCATCATTTCACATGCATATACAGTGACAGGGAAACGTGTCTGCAGAGCGTCGGTCCATTAAGTCAACTCCGTTCCAGAACCGCTCAGCGGAGCCAGTCTCTGTCCAGTCCAGACCAAATAAACCCATAATCGCAGAGGAGCAGTTTTGCACCCCAGCAAGCGGTGACGTCAAGGGGCATTTGGAGGTGCTGGAAGTGCAGGAAGTCGTGCTATTTCTGCTCTATTGACTCTGGATAAGAGTGGACAGAACACGGCTGGACCGGAGGGTGTGACTCCGGGGCAGGAACCGCTCGTGGAAAATATCCCCCAGTGGCGATTCGGTCAGAGTCAGCCAGGTTGGAGCCTCTTGCTAAATTTCATCTGCAGCACGTCTATATTGCCTTTTAATGGCGACCCCTTATGTGTTCTTTCCATGTGCAGAAATTTCTGCTGCAACGAGCCCGACGGAGTCACAAAGGAGCTGAACGTCCAGAGAGCTGAAGGAAAATGTGTGTTCTCCGGGCAACATAATGAGTCCAGACACCGTGCATGTTCTGAATGAAATATCCGTGTTATTTATTAAACATAATGAGGATCATCACGTTTCACAAGCTGGTTTTAGTGTCTGCTTTTCGTAGAGGCACTGAATTT